GCAAATTAATATTAAGATCATTTAGAAACTCTGAATGTTTGAGCATAATATTTTGAATGTACATTCTCAGCAGTACACAGGTTAGGGTAGAGAAATGAAAATATTCTGCTGCCTAACTTGGTAGGTTCACTGTTTGCTGGTGAGTTGGTACAATTCAAGGTAGTGGAAATGAATAAGCAAGTGGATGTGGAGAATCTGGGGTCCTCACTGTTGGAATACATGTGTGGAATGTGCAGAAGTATCTAGAGGCGTTGGGATTCAGTCACAATGGGCTCATGATTTAAAACAGTTGAATTATATTCTTTAACTCTTTCTTCCTGGAGCAGCTAGTGACATTGCTGTTCCAGTGATCATACCTAAGACCCGTCTTAGTGCGCAGAGACCACTACCTGTAGAAGCAAGCAGAAATTTTCAGGTAGTGATGACCATAACATCTTGAGAGAAACATTACAGACAGTCCAGAACATTGCATCATGCAAGAATCAAGGGTGACTAATGAGGATACATCAAAAGAGGGTTCCTAGAACTTACATAACCATTGTTAAGACGTAATGAGAAGTACACACTATTACCTTTTAATGTTTTAATGGGAAAAATGTCTTCCATCCTGGTTTTATCGTACAGAGCTAAGTTTAACGATAGAAGAAATATGAAATGAACAGTGTGTTGGACTATTTTTAAATTACATTATTTACTTATAATCTCTTGAGTTTGGAGGGATTCTTTCTAGCCATGGCCAAGACAATTTCATCACTCAAGAAAATAAAGATACTGATGAAGCTGAGTACGGTGATTCAAAACTTGGTTGTAAATTAGTCTGAATCCTAGACACATGATCCTAGAGAAGATGATGAGAGAATGCCTCTCTGAAGAAACATATTAATCAGAAAGTGTAGGCAAGATAGCAGACTTTAAAGCACCAATATAGCAACCGATTTTCAGTAAGGCTTATGAAGAAGTGCTAAAATCATTGAGTAAAGATTTGGTGTGATCATAGGATACTTGCATCATCTTAAAGCATTGCAAAAGAGGAAATGTATCAAAAGGGAAATATATTTATGTGTTTATATCTGGCCTATGTATTTATATGTGCTATATATATTTATGTGATATATGTAAATATATATTATGTATATATATTTTTATGTATATATATGTACATATATATATATGTTTATATCTGTTTTCTCCGTTAATTAACTACATGTGACATCATCACAGAGTGTCTCCCAGAACTTTCATGACCCTTGAAAAGATGCAATCAGAAATACACAGTACTTTCTTTTAATGCTTTAATAAAAAAATGTCTTCCATTCTGCCTTTATCATGCAGAGCTAGGTTTAACATTAGAAGAACTATGAAAGGAACAGTGTGTTGGGCTATTTTTAGTCACATTATTTAGTTTCTTTGTTTACAGAAGTATATACAGATAAATGCACACGTATACGTGTAGGTATGAGTGTCTATGTGTATCTGTGCATGTGTGCAACATGGCATGAAAGTAGAGTTCAGAGGGCAGCTTTCCAGGGTCTCCTCTCTCCTTCTACTTTGTGGATCTCAGGAATCAGACCTCGGGTTGTGAAGCTGGGTGGCAATGCCTTTACCCACTACACCTTTTTGATGGCCTATGTTGACTCATTTTAAGGAAACGTTAACTTTCTTAGATGTTATATAATATTGCTGATATGTATTAGAATGTCTTTACTCTTTAGCTATACTCACTGAAGAGAACTTTTATTAATTCTTCAAGAATTTTATGTAAGCATACAACGTATTTTGATATATACATTCCAGCTCCTCCCCCTAACTCCTCCCAGATCCACTACTCTACCTCCCGACTTTGCCCCAACTTCATGTCACGTGCTTTGCACCTCCGCAGACTTCTTATATTATTACACTTCCACAAGCATAGCTGCAGTTTGGCTAAAGGTGATGACATAAAGATCTGATATATTTGTAAAAGACAGAAAGTCCATTTAACTTGTTTTTATCAACAGCCATTTTCCTGATAAAGCCAAGTGTCTCAAAACTTCTCTTTCTAATAGACAATTATTCTACAGACCCTCATAGGTATTGGGGTGACTGATCCTGGAAACTTCCCTAATATCTATGTTTTGAGAGCAGGTAAGAGCAAAATGAAGTCAGCGAGCCCAATCTTGGGGGCTGCTCTCTGGCTCTCAGAAGGGAGTTTCGGGTATACATCAGTACCCCACTCCAACCTTGGTGTCTTCTCAAGATGAATGAATTTCTAAGAGAAGGAGCCAATGCCTTTCCCTCTAGGTAGAAGGGAACCTGCCCCTGACCTTCAGGAATTGTCTACAGTACTCTCGAGGCATGTCTTAGTCTAAACTACTCAAGTGTCTGATGCCGGTGGATGGCTTCAGCCAGGAGTTTAAGACTAGCCTCAGCAACATATTAAGACAACATACCAACACACAGAAACAAATGCAAACTGCCAAAGACTATCCATACCCACTGAAACCTTCTAGCAGTTTCTGAGCTGTGGCCTCAGAAGAGCTACAGACCAAGGAAGGGTGTCTTATATGCTGGTGTCTTTAATATGATAATGTCCACACATCTCCTGGAGCAGGAATTGATGTTTTATTAATGATGTTTACTCTAAATTTAATTTCAAAGCACTGCTGTTCCCACATTGTTTTGATAAAGGCTTTGTGGTTTATTTATTTTCCTCTTGGTGGTAAAAATGAGAAAGAGAGAGGAGAAGACATAGCTTAAAGCTAGGACTTGGGACTTGCTGTGGATGGAGGCCATTCTCAGAGTGCAGCTCAAAGGGGCCGTGTGAACACTTGAGAAGGGCTCCCTGTGAGTTGCTCCTCAGCAACTCAGCATCCTCAGGATGGTTTGTCAACAAGGCTCCTCCCTGTCAGCACTAGGGGTAACCTGGTGATGGTAACTGCTAACCACTCCCCATCCATCACCCTGCTTCTCCAGTCAGGACCCAGGTATACTGCCAATCCCTCAGGATCCTCAGTATACTTTCTGAACCAGTGCAATGGTTGGAAAGGCCCAGGAGATGGGTCCCACAGCATCTCAGTGGGAGAGCTGTTTGTACCAGAGGTTTCCTTGTCAGGACTTCTTTTTTTCTGTTATTGTTTGAAAATGTAGTAGTTATGCTTATTGAAAATTTATTACTGGGTCTCAGGCCATTTTTTAAAAATCTACTACCCCCTTTATTCAACTCCATTTTATAGGTTGGAAAATCAATGTCAAGAGATTAAAAGGGGGGATGCCAGACATAATGGCTCAGAGAGTCTACCTTCTCAATAGTACTTTTCTATCTGCTGGTGGTAGGGACTCTGTATTTCTGAAGCAATGGAAGACATAGGGGAAGCTACACTCCCTCCCCTGGCTTGGGACAGCTGACACATAATTTACCCTGGAGAGTTCTTCTTGCAACTGCCCAGAAGTTGTAACATGGCTTTCTCCACTTTGTTGGCCTATTTGTCATCCCCTACCCAAACTCTCCTTAATAGTTTGTGTACAAACTTCATTGAGTCATATTCTAGAGCCATAAACAGCCAGGCCAAGGAGAAGGCTAAAATACACAGAGACAAGACTTTCTTAGACACCACAAATTCTATCCTACACAAGACAGCTACTGTGTGGAGCTGCATGCAGATTGTACTAGAACCCTGGGAAGAAACAGCCAAGAAGTTTGTGGCAAAGAAAACTCACAGAGAAAGTAAAGTTTAAGAGAAGTCTTGGAATAGCAATAGAAGAGTCTGTCCTGCATACATAAGGGAGATGTCAGACTAAAGAAGGAATAACATTGGTAAGAAGGTAGCTATGTGTGCTATCACCAAAGTTTCTGCATCCCAGCATTTTCAAGGTAGAAAGCACATCCAAAGATCCAGGGTAAGAGGCAAACTCTGTAGTGCCTTGTAGGGTTGTTGGTGGTGTGGAGTGGGGAGGGAGCTGAGGTAGAGAGGGGATAGATGGGGGAAATAGGGGAAGGTAATGTGGTTTAGGGGAATGTGGGTTGATGTGGGGGGAGGTGGGGTGGAGTGGGGGAAATGGGAGGGTTATGGGGAGATGGGATGGTTTGGGAGAAATTCCTAGATTGTTTTTTTAGTCTCTCTCTTGAGCTCCCAGGTGTAACTTATTGAAAGGAGGAACACAGGAAGATAAGTCAGCATAGACAAGAACATTCATTCATTTTGCAATACATGGTATTTGAGATGCCTGTGGGACATCCAGGTAGATAATCAGCTTTGAGCTCATTCAATGTGCACACTAAGCCTTAAGCTATTCTATGTTTTCTTGTTTTAATTTGTGCAGAATCAAGTTGTCTGATTTTCAATCTTGACATGTTTAAACAGTAAGATGAAGACCCTTTCCAAGAGGCATCTAAAGAGTTAAGACTTGGGTAGAAAGAGTGATAGAATACAAGGGGAGAATTGGGGAGGCAAGGGATCACCATGAGCACAGATTTATGACTAAGCTGTCACTATTCATGGAAATACAACATTACTCTGGAACTGTACTATTCACACTCTGCAAGGTCCCTTTATGGGGACCTTGAGAATAGTAGGGAGGCCAAAAACAGGACAGAGGATAAGGAGTTGGATGGATCAGTAAAGTGCTTCCTCTGTAAGACTGGGGGCCTGAGTTCAGATCCCCAGCATTAAATAGAAATCAGGTATGGCAGAGCATTCCTGTATCCCCAGTGCGGTGAATGCCATGGTAGGAAGATCTGATAGCTACCCAATTCATTCAAATCAGTGAGCACCATATCCCAAAGAGAGACCATGTCCCCAAAATTGAGATGGAAAACATTGGAGAAAACAGAACACTGACCTCTGGCCTCCAAGTGAATGCACACAATGGAAATATGCGTGTGATGTATGTAAACACACACACACACACACACACACACACAAGCAGATGAGCAAAAAATAAAATCCTCCTCACTCACTGGCTTGACCCATGAAATCATGCTTAACCTTCTCCATTCCCATAAACTGGCCTCTCCTACTCACCATCCTCTTCAGTCTGTACCACCAACTCCTCACTCTCCATCCGACCCTCAGGGTTGGACAGTAGCAGCCGCAGTCTGATGGTCATGAAGGGCCGTAGACCCCGCAGGGTATAGTGGGAAGAGGTCTGGATCACCTCTTCAGCCTCATACTGCTGCTGGTTGAACACGTACTGGTACTGTACTGTGAGGTTATAGCTGTGGCAGCGGGTCACTGCATAGCCAAAGGGTTCCCACTGCAGGGTCAGCTGTCGAGCCCGAATGTCCACAATCTCCACATTCTGAGGGCCATGCACAGGATCTGTAAAATACATAATAGATACAAGAGTTTTGAGGAGACTGCAGGAAGCCGGTGGATGTTGTTGTTCTTCCAGACACAACTCACCCTCCCCAAGCTCTCCCAAGGCTCTCGCCACCTGCAGCATAATTAACAGGAAGGCTGTCTTTAAATTATTTTTTTTTATTTAGACACACATGTCTAAGACAAAACAAAATACATAGGGTAGAAATATGTCACATTTCCTTCATAATAAAATATGTCAGTCATTAAAAATATAAAATTCACCAGGCATGATGGCGCATGCCTTTAACCCCAGCACTTTGAAGGTAGAGGCAGGTGGATTTCTGAGTTCAAGGCCAGTCTGATCTACAGACTGAGTTCGTGGACAACCAGGGCCATACAGAGAAACCCTGTCTTGAAAAACAAAAACAAAAACAAAACAAAATAAAGAACAAAGCAATCTATCAAAAAGTCTATTAAAAAAAAGAAAAGAAAAATATAAAATTCTTAGCTGAATGGTGGTGGTGCACCTTTAATCTCAGAACTTGGGAGGAAGGGGCAGGCATATCTCTGTGTGTTCAAAGTCAGCCTGGTCTATAGAGAAAGTTCCAGAACAGCCAGAACTACACAGAGAAGCCTGTCTTGAAAAACAATAGATAGATAGGTAGATAGGTAGATAGATAGATAGATAGATAGATAGATAGATAGATAGATAGATGATAGATAGATGATAGATAGATATAGATGATACATACATACATACATACATACATACATAGACAGCAGACAGACAGACAGACAGACAGACAGACAGACATAAAATTTCTTGGTTGCTTAGGGCTTCACCAGAGTTCCACTGAGTGTACATACATCACATGTCTATCTTGGGAGCTACCAACTGCACATGCTTCTAAGATGGGCTACTGGAGTTCTGTCCTGCTGTCTGTACTTAACTTGGCTGCAACCTTTCTCCACATAATTGAGGTTCCCCTCCTCCCCTTCTATCCAGTGGCACAATCTGGAACTGTGGTTACATCATGAACAGACATCCAGCCTCCAACCATCTGTATGATCACAGCACCCCATGAACTCGGCCTTTGGATTCACCTCCGCACTTTCCCTTATAATAGGACGTATCATTTGCTAGCACCCTGCAGCAGTTCACTCTTTGTCCTGTTCCCTCCATATCCTCCATGAGCACCATCTTCCACTCCTCAGTACTGCAACACTGTCCCCTACCTCCTTACTTACCAATCTTTGTCCCAGTCCCCCATATGTAGCAACAACCATGTCTTACTTTATAATCTGCACATCGAGGGAGGTTTATATCTTGCATGAGGTAAAGAAATGGCTTTTGTACTAAACTGATTAAAACAAACAAAACAGTGATGCTTGAGTTCTGACTGGCATTTCACTCCATACTGCTCACAGGACATTATCAAGCTATGCCATGTCTTCGAGTCTACTTTTTACTTAATTTGAAAATTAAGTGATAATAGCGGCTCACCCAACTGCAGGAGAGGGTAAAGCTGGATGAATTATCCTGAGCCATTAGACTTGCACCTGGAACTTAATAAGCACATCATATGTAATAGCTGGGGGGTTGTTTTATAGCAATAGAAAGAGTAATAAGTATAATCATCCTTCAGATGCTATACACAACCCAAATGTCTTATAAATGGCTGTTCTGGGTAGAATCATTATTCGCTATGACAGACTAGGATGTTGCCACCTCTCCAGACCTTGAGTTCCCAGAGCTGTTAGAGTAAGCTGCCTCTGGGTCAAGGAACCAACAAGAATGGCTACGGGTGAGGGCTTTTGACGCCAGCCGAGGTCCCTAATTTACTATGATGTGGGGAGTGTAACTTTATAACACCTTTGCAAAAGAAACACACTTCATTCGCGTGTCAGAGAGGAGGAGGATCCATCCCCAAACCATGCACATCAGTAGCTCTGGCCTCTTTTCAACTGAGGAACTGACACTCACTCTTACAGCTCTATTATCCATGGTGCATGGTCCTGTGTTCAAAAAAAGATCAAGAGTCTCAAAAGCAAGAGTGACTTTGTAAAAGTGACATTGTATGAGTCGCCTGTTATGCTAAACCTATGTATGATAAAACATAAACATGGGTGCAACTCATAGTTAGGGGCTGTGACCAGGCATGTCTGCAGTTACTCAACTAGATGTCTCTGGGTTGCCCAGGCTGCAGTAAACATAGGTGTACAGAAATAGTGATGGAGGGACCTTCCTGTCTGCCAAATGTTAGCATCCCCTCTAGGCTTTGAACAGCAGGGATTTTTCTATCTGTAGAGATTCCAGAACTCTGTTGCTATAGACATCCAAGTAATACCTTTCTAACACTCCTCCAATGGAAACTTCTTCAAAACCAATCAATACTCCACCCTGGGGAGACAGTCATCTCGTGGGGCACTCTCCTTCTCTCATTAGGAAGTGAGTGCACAGATATTTAATACTCAGTTAAGACTGAGGACACATTTTTGTTAAGCATCTTAAATACGACAACAATCCATGTTGAATTCAATTTTTGAGATGTCCAGTATGGCCTAAAAGCACAAATAAAATACTGTCAATGGAACAGCATCCAGGAAGTACTTGTTTTATTTCCTGTAGAGGGATACTTGGAGGAAGGAACTGCCCCATTTGACAAATGGATAAATCGAGGGTTACAGAGGTCCTGGAGCGTATATAAAGTAACAAGTCTAGTGAGTGACCATATGAGGCTTTGAATTTGTATAGTTCTGACTCCATGTCTAGCTTGCAAAGGAGGTAAAAAGAGGTCTGGAACACAGCCACTGAAGGGATGCCTGCTGGGCTTGATAAATTGCAAAACTCTGGAGGAGGCATCTGAAGACCCCTCTCTAGAGAAAAACCAAAGTTCTGAGGGATAAAATGATTGTCCTCGGGCCACACAGGGAGAGGCAGGGTTGAGATTCACAATCTGAAAAAGTCCAAAGCCTCTGTTCTTCTCTACTACGACACCATTGGAAGCTGAGGTTAGAATAAGACCATCAACATGAAACAGACCTCAGCCACCAGGAATTCAGGAGAGACCTAGAAGAATCCTATGGATAAACAAGAATTGTAACACAGAGATTGCTTTGTTCTTAGGAGCCTGGGATCTGCCTCCAAAGGGACAATGCTGGGACTTAACGTTAAGCTGAACAATGGTCTATCTTCCACCCCAACTCTATTTCTTGCAACTAAATTGTGCAGAAACACATGTAAACTCCTCCATGTCTCTCTCAGATGTAGACTTACCCCAAGGCCTTGCCTTTTTTCTCAGGCACAAGAGAAACTGAAAGCCTGTCCCCCAGCAAAGAGCTTCCCTACATGTAGGAGTTTTGGGGCACACGCAAAGCCCTGGTTCTCCAAAGCATGCATGACTGAGTTAGAGCATGGCTTGCAGCCAGACTCTGGCACTCAATAGCTAAGTGACCTTGGCCAAGGACACTTCATCTCTGTGCCTCCATCTCCTCATCTATAAAGTGGAAATTACTGCACTAATCTCAGAGGGCTGTTAATGAGCATAAAATGAACTGTAAAGAGAGAAAATTGCCTTTCCCTAACAGTGGGGATTCCTCTTACACAGAACTGCCTTTCTTGGAGAAATGCCCTAAGAAGCCTTTAAACAGTTTTTGTGTCTTTATTCTTTAGGATTCGGTTCTTGGACACAATAAAATATCATATCTAGTCCCATTTCCGCTCCACTCTGCCCCAAGTCCCCCAAACACAGCATAACCCCTTCCAAACTTCATGCTTTTCTGCTGTCATTGTTATTGTTTAGAACTCACTAAGTTTAGCCATTGCTAGCAATATATATATATACACACATATGAATGAGTGTTTTAAGAATGGTAGCTGCATTCCCAGGACTTGGAGCCCTACTAAATGAAATGTCCACAGGAAGGTAAATGCCAAGTTCTAGGATGGGGATGAATAAAGTAGGAAAGTTAGGGAAGTAGTTAAGTAGTAAAATGTTAGGGGTACCCACAAATATAACTGTTCCCACATAACTCCTTGACTTTCAACATTGTCTTCAGAGGTCACAAAAATACTTACTATGGCAGAACTCTAAACAAAACTGATGCACACTTTGGTCAAACAAGACTCACACAGGCTCATAGAAACCAGGAAAATGAGACTCAGAACACACCCATATACTACACAGACCTTGGGAGATGGTTTGTGGAGGTTTCCCAGGCTATGAACATTAAGAGGCTCAGGAAATCTCAGTTCAAATGCCATAAGTTGGGGTTCTAGTGACCCTCTGGGTAAGATACATATGTGATGAAAGTATCTTTATGACTATGGTAACTCACATTCTGGAAAACAGACTATTTGGCAGGATCTCTGGGCTAGGTAGTGCCCTCAGCATCTGCCTTTGGGAACAGCTCTATGGTAGATGTCACTAAGGCTCCATGAAAGGAATGTGGCCATGGCTCCACGCACCACTGTCCGTCATACTTAGCATTTGTCACGCTGTCCAGGAATTGCTTGTTTATACATTTGTCTCCCAGATTGCTGGGGACTATTTTCTGTTTGTCTAGCATCTCTAGGATCTGTCAAGCAGACTTCCTAAGAGATGACCAGATGGTGATTTGTTCTAGGAAACTGAGCTCTGGTCACTTGTTCTGCCCTCCCTCCTCCGTTCATGCCAGCACATCAGCAGGATCTCCAAGGGGCATATTTCCTTTTTGTTTACTTTTCAACCACAGAGATGTCTTGACATCATACATAAGAGACAGTAGTTTCCAGAATGTGTAAGGGGAACATTCATGCATTTAGTGGGATGACCCCACCCCTACCCCCAATAAGCTTCACCCGCCAAACTGAGATTCTGCCTCAGTAATTGCCTTCTGTGGGCAAAGTCCTGGGTTTACATTTGGCCTGGTGCAAACAAGGAGAAAAATTGCTGAGAAAGTCTTGTGTGTGCAGTAGAGATTGGTTTGTTGAATTTATATCCCCCGTGTAAATACATCCAAGCCTACAGCCTCTGGTC